GGTGTCTCAGGGAACATGAGGGGTCTCAGGGGACATGGGGGGTCTCAGGGGACATGGGGGGTCTCAGGGAACATGAGGGGTCTCAGGGGACAGGGGGGATGTGTGGGGCAGGGTGTGAGCTCCACACAGGTGGGGCCCCTCCCACTGCCTCCTGGCCACACGTATCCCACCATTCCAGGCTCCAGGCACAGCCGTGAGGACATGTGCGAGTGGGCCCCACGGCCTCACAGCCCCGCGGCCCCGCGGCCCCGCAGCCCCGCAGCGAGGAGGCACCTGAAGGAGACCAGGCCGGTGCAGAGTAGTGGGAAGAACGCCATGCACAGGAGCACGCGCCAGAGCCCGTTGTCCACACAGAGCTTGCCCCACCACACCTTGGTCAGGAAGGCCTGCGGTCAGAGGGGTCACCTTCAGGATGGCGGCCACCCCCACTCCACTCTGATCCCAGGCCCCTGCGCCCCAGCCCTGAGGGTGAGTGACTCCACACACTCAAGCACAGTGTTCTCTGGGCCCCCCAAGCACATGATACGGTAGGTGGCACAGGACAGGCCCCACCATCTGCCAGTTGAGGACAGGCTCCAGGAGGGCCAGCTGCGCTGTCCAGAGGTGAGGGGAGAGGCGGGGTGCGAACCCGGCTTTCAGCTCCAGGGCCCTCCTTCCTGGCTCTTACCAGCTGACCCCTTTGAGCACTGTGTGTGTGTGTGTGGCGGGGTGACAGGACTCCTCCCCACGGTGTCCCCAGGCCTCAGCACAACACAGCACATGACAGTGCTGCACGGCACGGTGATGAAACCGCTCAAGGAAGCACCCGTGTTCCGAGGGCACCTGCCCCAGGCCAGGCCTCCGCGGACACGGAACAGCTCCCTGCCCTCAGCTCCAGGACACTCTGCCGCCTCCCACGCGTCCCGCCCGAGGCCCCAGATCGGGGACTGACGCCTGGCTCCTGGGGCCTCCTGGAGGACCGCCAGGGCTCCCAGGTAGGAACACCCCGTGTGGAGGGGGCCGATGGCCCTCAGGACCCCCGCCAGCTCGCACTTCGTGTCACTTCCTTCTCTGCAAACGGAGAAAAGAGGGTCTGCCGGGTCTGCAACGTGTGACCCAACGGCCTAGGCACTGGCCCTGGGTCCCTGAGGGGCCACATGTGTGAACACGTGTGCCATCTGTGCGGGGCCAGCGTCCCAGCAGCACCTCGGGCGTCTGTTCCTGAGGGAGGCCCTTAGAAGGTCACCTGGACGCCTCCATGAGACACGAACTTCATGTCCTTGGCCTCCAGTGCCAGCTGCAGGCAGGTGGTCTTCCCCCAGGCCTCCGACACACGGATGAGCAGCTTCTGCGCTCTCTCCTCATCCTTCCGGTAGCACTCGGTGAAGACCCCTGACAGATGACGGAGGTCCGTGTCACAGCAGCGGGGTCCCCATCACTGATGCCTGAGACAGTGTCAGACAGCGGCCCCTCGAGATGGCACAGCCTGGACAGGAGCAGGGCTGAGATCGGGATGAGGACCCCAGGGTGGCACACGGGAGGAGCGTGGTCCCAGCTCACCGATGGCTCGGTGCTCATACTCGTTCGCGAGCGCCAGCATGTCCTCGGAGCTGTCCGTGTCCTCCTCCTCCTTGGAGAGCTCCTTGAGGATCTTGCTGCAGGCCAGGGCCGCCGCTATGCAGTCCTGGCTCTAGGGCCCGGGCGCCACAGTGAGGACCTGCGGGGTCCGGCCCGGGGACCCCACTCACCACCCGGGGTGATGAAAGCAGAGCCCTCGGGACAGCTCAGGCTGCTAGGTGACTCCTTGCGGCCCCTATCTATATAAATCATTTAGGTCACCCCAAATCAACACGTAAGCTCTTTCTGGGGCCCAGTCTCCTGCACTGGCCCGTGGGAGTGGTCTGCTGGCCACGTGGCCGGCTTGCCCACCCAGAACATGGACTGAGCACACCTGCCAGCATGAGCCCCAGAACGCCAGGGCATCTGGTCAACCCCAGTGCGGCCTGAGGGTCAGCGAGCACCCAGTTGGGAGAACCGTGCAAGTCCCCGTCCAGGTTCAGGGCTCCCTGCCCCAGTGGCACTGCCAGTCCCAGACACCGGAGGAGGGCGAAGAAAGTCTCAAGGAAGGTTCTCAAAGCACAGCCCGGAGGGGCTGGGTCTGAGGGCAGCGCCGGCCCAGCATGAGGGGCTGGTGCCCGAGCCTGGGAATCTGCACTTGGCCTTCCCATCCGGAGCCCCACGGCACGTAGCCAAGGCCACAGTCAGACCCCGCCCAGACGCTGACCCACCATGTCCCTGGGGAGAAGGCCCCCCCCCCGCCCGCACCCCCAGCACCACCACCAGTGCTGCCGCTCTGCTGGTGACACTGAGGAATTTGGAAAGGTCAGCACTGGAAAGCAGGAAAAATATGAAATTTACTTTCCCTTTAAGAGGAGAATCAGCTTGAACTGGGCTCAGGGCGGAGCAGTGGGGCCTGCTGCCTGTCTACCTAGCAGCCAGTCACCATCCAGATCCCACCGGCCAATGAGGAGGCACGCGGGCCCTCTGGGGGTGGACGCTGCCCTGCAGCCTCTAGTGAACAGGGTGGCCACAGCCCGTGCGCTGACCCCCAGAGCCTGGGTGTGCCATAGAGGACCTGCCCGGCCAGCCTCCACCCTGCACGGAACGGCAGGAGTTGTGGCTCACCTTTTAAAAGCTCTTTTCTTGCCTAAAGCCAAGCCCTCTGATCTCAACACGGGGCACTGAGTCCCTTCTGGTGTTGCGACACCCCTCACCTTCCCCCACAGCCGTGAACCACCCCCCCCTGCTGTGGGCGCCGGGCTCCCTGGTCGGGCTCCCTGCAGGAGCCCCGTGCATCTGGTTACCTGAGCCCAGATGATTTCTGCCAGCTCCCGGCGGTTCTGGATGATGGCCCAGATGAGAAGATCACGGACCGGGTCCATGGTGAAGGTGACATGGTCTGATGGATGCTTGTAGAGGGACTGGAGACTCACCCCCTGCACCTGGAGAGTAGCGGACAGTCAGAGCCCCTCGCCTAGGTCCCCACTAGCATCAGGTTTCCCAGGAGACCTGGTGGGGTGCAGGTCCTGAGTCCAGCCCCACAGCTCTCAGAACCTCTGCCCCTGGAGGGCTTGCTGGGCAACCTGCCTTTGCAACAATCCCTTAGGCAGTTCTCATGCACACTGGGTTCCAAAGCTGTCACTCTGGAGACATGTAGACATGTCCAGTAAGGGGGTACCAGCTAACCCTGCCCCAACATTTGTCAGTGCTGCTGCACAGCGAGCAGCTCAAGGTCCCTCAGTCTCCTCTCACAGCATCAAAGCCTTTTTCTGTGAAGAAAAATTCTAACGGAGCCTGTAACCAGATTCAGGGCTGTAAGCACCATGGGCCCATCCGGGTCTCCTGCAGGGCAGGTACCCAGGTTGCGTGTGAGTGTGTCACACAGCCTACATAGTGACACAAGAGCCCAGGTTTGCTGGAGGTCAGGAAGTAAGCAGGAGCTCAGGCAGCCTGGAAACACTCCCGAGAGGCAGAGAGCACATGCCACATCACACCAACGAGCGCACTTTCTTTAAGTGGGTTTGGAAATTTCCTAAAGGTTCACCTGTACAAATTCGTTTATCTTCTTAAATCACAGGCACAGTTAAGTGTGAACTCCCACTGTGGACCTTTATAAGCACACCCGACGGGGTATTTTTTTTTTTTAGCTGAGCCATCCTGCCACCTGTTGGCAGCTCAGCGGCTGCTCAGCTCGGGCCGGGACTCGAACTGCTGTTGCTCAGAGCTCAAACTCTTGAGCGAGCTCTTAACCAACTGAGCCACCCGACGGGGTATCTTAAGTACACTTAAATCAAGATGCAGGGAACTGTGAGTGTGTAAGGCTGGGCCACAGCCATGTCTTTCTCAGGCACAGCTCACCTGGGACCATGAACAGGTTTGAAGACCTGAAAGAAGCAGATCGTTTTCCAGCAGGGAAAAAGTCAACACTCAATCTAATCTTAGAGCACACAGAAAGCCTAAACAGACAAATCAGCAGGGAAGAAACCGAGGGAGTTACCAGAGCTACCACCCCAAAAGGCACCAGGCCCCGCTGGACTCCCAGGGGAGTTGCTGAGCTTATAAGAAGCAGTGAATTCCAGCCACACAAACTTTTCTGCAGCAGAGAAAGAAGTCAGGCTTCCAACAGCTTTACAAGGCTAACATACCAGAATGTGACAAAGACAGCTCCAAAAATAAAACTACAATCAAAGTCTTAAACATCCTGATACAAATCCCCCAAAAATATTGTCAGTAGAATCCAGTATCATGAACACACATGATGCTGCAATCAAGGTGAGAGTCACAACGTGAATAAAGCCCCTCCCCACCTATTGCTGCGATGCACGTGCTGGGCGCCTCACCCAGACGTGGGGTATTCTGACCTGACCACACGGACGCCAGGTCCCCCGGGTGAACAGCGCCGGGGTCCAGGGCACCAGGGAGACCGTCTTCCACACTTCACCTTTTTCTACTACTTGAAATTTTTAGGAAAGGCAAGTTGTGGACTGAAGAGTGTCCCCTAAAATTCCTATGTTGAGGCTCCAACCCCAAATGTGACTGTATTTGGGTCTCCAAGGAGGTGGCTGAGGTTAAATGAGGCCCTACGGGCAGGGCCCCGATCCGATAGGATTGGTGTCCCAGGAAGAGGAAGACACACAGGTGCTGTCTCCCCCACGGGCGCGCCCAGAAGGCCTTACTTAAGCCAGCCCTGCTGGCACCACGGTCCAGGGCTCCAGGCCCCCAGAGCTGTGAGAAAGAAACACCTGACGTTCATAAGCCCCCGGCTGTGGCGTCTTGTTATAGCAGCCCGAGCTGACTCAGAAGTGAGTCACTACTGAGAAGTGAGGGTGCGGGGGTTACAAAGACCGAAAAATGTGAAGGCAGCTTTGGAACCGGGTGATGGGGGAGGCTGGAAGAGTTTAGAAGTGC